TCCACTAACTTCGTGTCTTACCTCGTCCAAGTAACACCTGCATGATTCAATCTGCCCAGCTGCAAAATGTGTGATTGCACTCGCCCATCCCACCAGGGCTTCGGGAAATGTAATTACTGCTTGTGGAGTGTTCTGCGTTGCAGTGATGGAAGCAGAAGTGTCATCTACTATTTTCCAAAGGTGACAACACCACATCCTACCTGTTCCACCAGCAGCATCACAATTCTTTCCTACCTCACATCGGTCCTGATCACCTTTCTGCAGTACCTGCAGGTCCAGGTACTGCCAGGAGCTCCAAGAAACCAGCCCTCGGAGTCATCTCTTGCATATATTTTAGAGACCTTCAATCCAAGTAAGTGCTTGGTTGGAGGATACAAGTGGGGAAAATTCCTTTGTTAACAGCCTTAATTAGAAATAGGGATGAGTGAATTCAAATTAGCTGATTGATACCAATAAGGAAAGGAAATCAAGTTGTTAATGACTGTGAGAACTAATGATTTTAACAGAGGCAAGAAGCCCATTTTCCTGTTGCTGCTCAACTCACATGTTGTGTCTCTCCCCGCTGTGCCAGTGAACAGGGGCTTTACCAGCACCAGCCCCCCCCCATGCAGGGCCAGCCCCAGCCCCCTCCCTGCACGGCAGCACTGGGTTTGCAGAAAGTCATCATCGGGGAGCAGCCCAGGTCTTCTCCAGCGTGACCTCCCTCGGGGCACTGCCTCCACGCAGCTGTCCAGCTGAATCATTCTGTAGGCAGCCTATGAGCAAAGTTTTTCGATTTTTTTTCAGCTCACGAGAAAAAGGCAGAGTCTCAAACAATCCACTTTTTCCTTCTTTGAGTGGAGAGGTGGCAGACAGAATTACGAACAAGCACAGAGAGATCACCACTTTTTACAGAAATTCTACAAGCACAAAGAAAGACTAAATACATCCACAAAAGTGATTTGCTTGAAGACAAGTGAAGATATAATCCCTCTGTATGAACATCTTTAATTATCTACACTTTTCCTCCTCCTTTGTTTCCCTCTGTAACTACCGAACTGCACCACTGAGGTCTGATCCACTCAACCTGTATATTATGTCTGAGAGACCCTCCACCAAAGCCCCCCAGTTTAAAATCTCAGCTCCACTGGAAATGTTAAAATCCTGCAAATAATCCAGCAGGGTAAGAGAGCTTCCAGACTGCGCAGATCCACGTACTGTCCTTTTCATTATCTCACTGCCCTCTCATTGATTACAGAACTTTTACATTTCCAGGCCCTGACAAGGAAAATGCTTTTAAGTGGTTTCAGCTCAGCTACATAACCAAATTAGCAATGCAACAGAGATGCATGCCAAGGGAAGCGAATCTGAGATTGAAATGCTGCACACAAACAATACTGATTAGGCATATTAAGTTCCAGAAGCACAGCTGGCCAAAAGCACAGCAGAAAAAAAAACCTTTAGCAGTGAAGATATCTATGAAAGCAACCTGAGCAAAATCCACTTAAAAAAACCAAAACAAACCAAGAGCACTGTTAACAGTGTCCAAATATGAAAATAAAGATTTGAAAAAACTTAATAGAATTTCTGGTGACAACAATGCTCTCCTCTACTGAAAGCAGCCATTTAGTTGAGTATTAAACATGGAGAATTCGTGAACAATAAATCCAGAGGTGAGGTCAAATGTAACTGCCCACCCAGCAAACGTGTGTGAACTCACACAACCAGAACGAGAGTGTGATAGCCTTCATGTAAACACAGGTTGAGCTACCTCATAAAGCATCTTCATTGCAATTAGAAGTTTAGCTCAAATTTGAACTAGCAAAAAACCTGCAAAGCAATTGCCATATTTTACAAGTCATCTAGTCTTCAGGCTTCAACGCTAAAAAAATATTTTTAAATATCCAAATTAATGGGCCTGGCTGAACAGAGAGTTCCCTCTAGTTTACATCAAACCACCACTGTAGTAACCCAGCGAGCAGCACATCAGGCCCAGAGTCTGTTTTCAGACAGGGATAAATCCAAGAGACAGGCACAATTTTAATTCCAACTTCCACACTAGTGTGGCAAATATTTCCCCCTCTTAGGTTTAGCTGAAGAAGCCAACTATAAAGTTTTACTACATGCTTCAGGAATAGCTCCTGTATATATGGGTGTATAGAAACTCAATTATTAATTATTCCTGGAAGAGAAGGAACCCACAGGAGTCACGAGCCTCTCGCAGACAGAGGCAGCGCTAGCGGTGCTGCGTGTGCCTCCTGGCAAAGGGGCAATCCTGAACCCCCAGCCCAGCCACGCCAGGGCATCGTGGGGGTCTCAGGGGAGCAAAGCTTGGTGCAAGAAAAGAAACCACCACATGAACTCAGGTGTTGGGTGCAGCAAGAAACGGTGCAACCCTCCATGCCATCAGAAGACACCAAAAGCAGAGAATGCAAAAATAAACCCCATTTGCACTCGGATGTGTAAATCTTTTCTTCTTACATGCCCCCTGTTCTTTAAAGGTTGGGGTTTTTTTTCAACTTAGTCATCTTCAGGAGCCAGGCAGTAACATTATTTTCTTCAGCAATGAAGTAGCTGACGCCCGAGACACATGCACACAACGTGATTTGGAGATTTTGTTCCATGGATTTGAAATGGAGTTCCTTGGGATGTCACGAGAAGAATGAAACACAAAAGCAATTTATTGACATGAGCATTTTTTGCTTCCAAAAGATCTATTTGAAGGTGATGACAAATAATTTAACCTCACTTCCTGCTAGAGTCTCAAGTGCTCATCTCATCATTCCTAAGAGACGGAGCAGCCCGGCCTCTTGCTTCAGGCAAACCTTCACAAGAGAAAAATACTGCAACAAAGAGGAAAAAAGCCCCAAACCCAGAGTAGCGAGAATACAGAGAGAAAGAAGTCCTCTTGTGCAACCTCCTTCAGATGACACAGAGATGAAATGCAAGTTTAAGAAGTCCTGGTCACACTTTTTGCATCTCCATAAAGGCGATGCTTCACACCTCCTCATTTGGAACAGGAGCTGACAACATCGTTTTTTCACGTTACATCTTCTCAGCATCTCTCCTTCAGTTGATTTGTCTGGACTCATCGTTGATCATCACATAATGTAGGGGATATGTAATGATGTACAAACAGTGTTGCAAGGACAATTTTTATGGCGTGTAATCCACACAGACAGACATCAAAATCCCACTTCATTGGTGCTTACATTAGATGAATTCAGACACTGGCTCAGTTTCTGAAGGATTAAACACATTTTCAAAGGAACTTACATAATAGCACTGCTGAGAGCCCGGTGATAGTCATCATTAACAAGAGATTTAATTTAAAGATTGCAGAACGCTCACAGTATCAAACAGGCAGCTATTATTTGTACAACTTAGAATTCAGCAGCTGGTTAAGTGCTGACAGAAAAATATATACTCTTCATCCATCTCCAGCATCATTAGAAACCTGATGCCCGCGAGCAAAGAGACATCCGTGATGCAACAGCTACAATTATTAGTCTACAACCCCGTGAGTGCCCATATATGCCATTTCATCACGACACTGAAGCTCCCTCCAGCTACATGCAGCGCGAAGAGCTCAGGCCGTGCAGCTGCAAGGAAAGATGGGGAGAGGCTGTTCAGGAGGGCCTGTTGTGATAGGACAAGGGGTAATGGTTTTAAAATAGAGGGAGGTAGATTCAGATTGGATATTAGGAAAAAATTTTTTACCATGAGAGTTGTAGAACACTGGAACAGGTTGCCCAGAGAGGTGGTGGATGCTCCATCCCTGGAGACGTTCAAGGCCAGGTTGGACGAGGCCCTGAGCAACCTGATCTAGTTGGAGATATCCCTGTTCCTTGCAGGGGGGTTGGACTAGATGACCTTTGAAGGTCCCTTCCAGCCCT